TGATGCTGGAGATTCAGGCAGCTCGGCGGTTGAGTTCTCACACGAGAAAGCTTCAGACCGAGCTGCTGGCCGTCTTCACAGTGATCATGCCCAGCCTTGAGGACGCCATCGTGAAGCAGGTGGAGATCGAGACCCTTTCCTTGGAGGCCACCAATGAGGCCATCGCGAGTGCCGTCGCGAGCACGGGCTTCTCGGGTGCCTTGGAGGTTACCGGCAAGACGACCATGCGAGTTGCGGGTCCGACCACGACCACCACGACGACCACAACGACACAGGCCGGCAACACCACCACTACCGAGGGCGGTGATGACGGCGATGCGGGTGACGACGGGGACGATGGTGACGATGGCGACGAGCAGCCGCCCAGCTCGGCAATCGCGGGCAGCGCCTCCGCTGCGGTGCTGGGACTGGCTGTCGCTCTCTTGGCTTGATTTTAATTTGTGGTGCGGAATGCAATGGCATTCTGCATCTGCATTTTCCACACAGCTTGATCCATGCTGATCCTGAGCATGCGCAGCAACATTCAAACGCAGCTGACATCTGGTGGCCCAGGCCAAGCAATTCATTCACATTGACTTTCCGATGCTACTGAGCGCAAGCTTAGACTACGCCACATGAGCATCGGCGCGTGCTGGCATGGCGCAGGAGGGTGCCGAACAAGATGCACCCGCACGTCCCTCCAGGATTAGGCTCTGACGTGACGGAACTGCAGACATCGAAGATGAAATAGAATGCCTTTCCCTTTGATACGTTGAGTTAGGGAATGGAGGTCGGCACTCTCACAATCCACTCCTCCCTGTACCTGGTTGATAGTTGGTTGTGGTCCTGTCTGTGAGAGGATTGTGCAAGCCCTTGACCTTCGCAAGCTTAACATCTCTGAACCTCGAACGAGCTCCCTGCAGTGCGACCTAGCCATGCACCTACGTACGTATGTTCCTACCTACATGTATACATAGCCACATATCTCCATACATACTTCTATGCTTGCATACATGTGTACATACATACATGCATACATGTGTGAATACATACATACATACATACATACATACATACATACATACGTGCATACCTGCGCGCATGCATGCGCATATTGTTTTCATGCACAGGTACACACACAGATACCTACATAGGTGCATGCAGGGCTATATACTTTACAGCGGTACACATACATGCGCACACACAGGTTGCATAGTCGTACATGAAGAAACGGCAGTATTGGGCACTGATGGCAGTGGGGATGCTGTGTGATGATGGCCATCGTACTTATCATCCTCATCATGCTGTCATCACAGCTGTCACCTATCACCAAATGGCCAAACCTGAGGGTAGTGTGGGGACATCCGAACGTATTTTCGCAGCTCTTCGCATCTACATGGCGTGTGGTGTGCAAACATGCGTGTGCAAGCACGCGCCACTACTGTACCTTGGTATCAGACTACCTCTTGAAAACATGGGTACACACACACTCACTCACTTGCACATGCACGCAAGCAGTCGGACGGACGGACATGCAGCATGCATAAATACAAAGGATGCTTAAATGTAGGACTTCACAGTCGCATCCTACCACATCACAGATGAAGGGGTTCGACTTGTGCTGTCAGCATGCCGCCACTCAGATGCACCTGAGCGGGAAGTAGTTGCAAGTTTTTTCGGAAACACAATATCTGTTGTCCGGAAGATTCGCGTATGTGAGCTCTGTCGGCTGCGATGTAGCGGCTGTGGAATCACAGTCGGCCACTCACGGGGTATTACACGGTGTAGTCAACGTGGCATATTCACAACCTTCGGAAAGTGTTTTGAAGGATGCTTCCTTGCAGTTCCTGGCAACGTTAACGCAGCCACGGCTGGAACGCTTCCCCAGTCTGGACAAGCGTGTCCGTGTGGAAAAGGCTGAGGCATGGCATCCAAAGAGTCACTGAGGCTGTGGTTTTCAGGTGTCACCTCCCAGGGGCTGCACCAAGCCGAAGAAAACATGCCAGAGCCTCAGTACTTGCACCAGCGGGCCACAGCAGATTCCACAGTTGTGCAGAAGCCTACCAGCCGGCGCAGCGGTCCTTGCTTGTCTGCGTCCTACCATCCCTTTAAGGCCTTGGACATATTTCGACGTGGACATCTCTTGAGTTGGTGCGGCAAAAGACCAAAAATCGTCCGAGTAGAGGTTTATTGAGGGCAGGGCAGTCATGCACGAGGGCCATGCTGCATTGTCTTCGGTGACAGCTGGTGCTCCAGCAAACCTTATAACGAGACAACGCAGGACCAGGTGGTTTCTGTACTGAAACACAGACTAGCCTGTACTCTGCTTAGTAGATGCTTGTGCCATAGACTCTCGAATACAGAGAGGGACTGCAGGGGTAGGCCCCCG